AGGAAACTGGCATTTTCTTAACCATCTGGGCAATTACATAGGCAGCACACCAAATATAATTAAGAACGTATTTATTGAGAGGTACTACTTAAGAACGAGCAGCTAGTTCAGCTGTTGAATTACCAGATTGTGTTTGCTTGAAGCACCTTCAAGTGGACGACTCTACTAGAAATGCACACGTAAGCTAAAATCTGCTGCACTGCTAAAAAAATTGCTACATAGCATAGACTGTGAAAAGTTTAGCAAACTGAAGTTTAACTGAAGGATTGTAAATGAATGGTTCATAAAAATGGTATGCTGGTTTAGCTGCGTTCATACTACAAACAGTATGTAATGACAAATTAAGCAGTTAATTACTCACCACTCCTACATTTTTTAACAATAACACCTTTTCAAATAAAAAATATACTTTGTATATCTTTGTATAGGTAGCCTGCCTTAAAGTGCTTTTAAAATGTTTCTGTTCCTTCTCTTAGTTTGATTGTTTACAATCATAGGAAACACTTTGTAGTGTTATATTTAGAAATACATAAAATTATTCTTGTGCTGATGCTACGCGCCAGAAAGTTGTGTATTCATAAGGACGTTAAAGGATATAAAGGTAGATTTGTAAAAATTAGATATGTAGTAAAGCATTAAAAATTGCTTGTTCATTTGTACAGACACACAATGCCGGCGTATTGCTTCCAAAAAAAGAAAAAAAAAAAAAAAAGAGGAAAAGAGGGTAATGGAAAAGAAACAGCCCTTTGTCATGATGGTGAAGTTGGGTGTTTGATTTCTGAATTAACCAAATTCCAAGAGTTCAAAACTTTATCTCAGTATGCTCTAGGTTTTTAATGCTTCTCTCTTAAAAGTATTAAGAGAAAAGGGCAGCTGCCTGGTATGTACGGGGCATCTTTAACTTTTGGTAATGCGTGGTGTAGTCATCTGGAAAGATGGTCTGTGCGCAGAATGAGTTTTAGCATTACTGAGTTTAGAAAATTGTGTTTTGGAGAATGTTTGTAAGATGAATGAATTTGTTTACTGCTACATGGTAATTTATAGTTAAATTAAAAGATAGTGTTACTTGATTGGAAGTTAATAAAAGAGGACTAGTATTGTATACTCAAATGATCAGAAGAAATCAGACTTGAAACTAAGAAAAGAGCTATGTATCTGTTTCTTAGCTTTTGAAAAGGCGCTCAAAATATTGCATGAAAATGAAAAAAAAAATCTTGCTACTCTGATAATTGATAGCTCTTTAAAAAAAATCTAGGGACACTAAAACTGAGAGATTTGATGGGGAGAAAGAGGGTAAATATGCAATTTGCTTTTTGTTTACTGCACATTTATTAATTTCCTTTGGTGTTTTGCACTCGCTGCTCTATGGATTAGCATAACAGCAGCACTGTCGCGCAGTGCTTTAGGGAGAGCACGCTGCGTTCTTGCCTTGCCTCTGGAAAGAGGACTTGTCTGGATCAGCGTCTCATGTCGCGCAAGTAAGAGGCTGAAATATGGGCGTGGAAGAAGACAGGATGGAAAAGTAGGCACCAGCACGGTCTGTTCAGAAGATCTCTCCCACGAAGATAAATTGAACACTATAAAACCCGTGAGGATTTAAAGGACGATGTATCTTAATCTTTAATGGTGATTTAAAAATTAAAGTTTGCTGAGCGTAAAGATAGATGACTCCATTATGACAGGACTTCAAGCCTGTGGCTGACAGCCCTTCTTTGTAAGCAGATACTGCAGGTCCGTACACAGAGCAGCTACCGCAGAGGAGCAAATGTTGAATTTCACATCCTGCTGTATCCCATGGCAATTTGTTTGCTTACCCTGTGCTTAAGAACAGAAAACCATTCGGCTGGTTTTCACAGTGGAATTTTACATGACATCTGCACGTCTAATCCTAAAGATACTAATTTGGTATGAAAACATCACACAGCCAGTAACTACTCACGTTCTGGGGAAAAAAATTGCACCAAAACAAAAGAAGTGGGTTTGTTGTTCTGTGCCCTCCCCCCCCCCCCAAAAGCTACAGATCCTTTTCTGCGTGTAGTTTTTTTGCATCTAGCATGTGTATATTTGAATGTGTATATTTGCATATCTGCTAATTGGAAAGATTCCAGATGATATGACTTTTGTATACATTGCACCCACTTGCCAGTTTTGCTATGGAAAAAATCGGCTTGTAGGATGTCAGTAAATACCTTGTGTTGGTTTCAAGTACTGGCAGTTGTTTTTACAGCATGTTTGGGTTTGCTTGCCCTTGTTTCAGATAGGGAATTATGATTTTTTTTTTTTTTCCCCAAACGGCTAGAAATCTCTAGCATTAGCCATGTCTAACATAAGATGGACGAGAGGAAATGGCCTCACGCTGCGCCAGGGCAGTTTTAGGTTGGATATTAGGAAAAATTTCTTCATGGAAAGGGTAGTCAAGCATTGGAACAGGCTGCCCAGAGAGGTGGTGGAGTCACCATCCCTGGAAGCATGCAAAAAATGGGTATACGTGGCACTTCAGGACAGGGTTTAGTCTCCTCTCCCCTTAATTGGTTTAGTGTGGACTTGGTAATATAATGGTTGGACTGGATGATCTTAAAGGTCTTTTCCAACCTAAACGATTCTATGATTCTAAGATAGGAACTTCGTTAGATAATATAGATAATATAAGCATGCACTCAACTGTAAAATTGTATTCAGTGTCACTGGATACGTACGCTTCAGCTGCTTGTTTTAGAGAAGTGTTAATAGTTAAATTTTTCTGCTTAGTCATCAGTTTTTAGTAGTTAGTTCACAGCTTGTTCAACTGTATTTTTCCCCAGATTGCACACGCCCTCTCTCTGAATTGTTAAAGACAGTAAAAGGTATGACATGAACGATGCCCTATTGCCTCTGGGCTCCTGCTGCTCAGCTGCAGAAGCCAGGGATGTCCTCTCACACCTCATCCATGACAGACGGCTGGACTTTCTTCCTCCAGCAACAGCGTATGTGAAACCAGGCAGCGTGTGGCGATGCTTGTGCTGTTCATCAGCTCAGGAGTACACTAACAGCCAGGTGTGGGGCTCTGCGAGGGATACAAGCCAGTGGGTAAGACCATCCAGGCATTTTAATCTAAAAACTCTGCTGTGCTGGGACTGGGGACACCTACCCAGTGCCATAGAATCATGGAATCACAGAATCGTTCAGGTTGGAAAAGACCTTTAAGATCATCCAGTCCAACCATTAACCTAACACTGCCAAGTCCACCACTAAACCAATTAAGCGTAGAGTAGCAATTTCATGTTTCCTGGCTTGGTGGCTGGATCATTTATAACGCAAGTAAAAACTAGGAATCATTAAGGTTGGAAAGGACCTCTAAGATCATCAGTCCAAGATGATGTCCTTATCATCATTCTTCTGCTGTCTTCCTCCATACGTGAAAAAGCATTTGTGTGTGTGTGTGTGGTTTCTCTAGGGGGGAAGGGCTCTCACCTGCACGTCCAGCAGGTTCTCGGCACCGCCTGAGAAGCATTCCAGCTGTGGTGTGCGCGGGTCCACAGGTCTGTGGACAGTTCCGGACCTGGTGTTGGTGAGATGGCTGCTTGCAATTATAGGGATAGGATTAGGTGCCCTGTACGGATATTTCTATTCCTATACTTGTCAGACTGCAGAGGTGGGTCACGTTTATTTTAAACCTAAAGTTTACTTTAAAGCTTTAAGTTTATACACATGCTAAACCTTGCCTAAGCTGGTGCCGTTAAATTCAGATGCTAGAACTGCTGATGCAAACAGATATTACAAACTTTTTAGTCATTTAATTTCACCTTCTTCTTTCACTACTTACAGTTTCATCTTATGATTTTCAGTGGTTATCAGAAATATTTTGATACAGCGTGATGACTTGTTGCTCTGAAAATGGGAATATTCAAATGAGTGAATGGAGATCATGTCTCTACTTCAAATTGAGATGCCCCCCTTACCCCCCCCCCCATTTTAGATATAAAGCTCCTGTTGACAGGAAGAAGTTAGTGTTTGAAATGCAAAATATCTAAAATACATAAAACCCATCATTTTGGTTTCAACTGCATTGCCAAGCCTAGGATCACTCTCGTAGTGATTCTCCACACATAAAGCACTGTTGTTGCTAGCAGGGTTGCTTTAAGAATTGGAATGTTTTTGTGAAGCATTTACTTGTGTTTCACTTTGCTATTCAGCAACAAACTTTATTTAGTTGATCCATAAACATGAGTACTATTTTGCCACAACGGGGAATAACTGGGAAAATTAAATACAGTTACACTTACTGAAATGAGATCCAAGTTTCTATCAATGCTTTTATTTTTGCTTAAAGAAACAAAACCTACAAGCAATGAGGAAACTAACCTATATAAGGTGATAGTTCCTTCTCCGTCTATTTCAACTGATATTTGAAAATTGTTTTTATTACAGCATAGGTGAAACAACTGTGTTCAGCAGTGCTACTGAGAAGGTACAGAAGAGATCAGATGTAATGCTACCACACAGTAAAGAGATTAAATTCTTTTTTTCCATGTCTTAGGATAACCAAAGTCTATGTATTAAAATATGCATTTTGATTTGAAAATTCAGAAACCCAGAACAATGTTTTAGAAGTTAAATACAAAACAGTAGTAAATATGCAAAATACAGTTGATAAGCAGAGCGACGAGGCAAAAGAAATAAGTATAATAGTTGATTCTTAAAATGTAATTCTCTGTAATGCTGGGCTTCCCCCCACCCCCTGCGTGTAACGTATGGTCAGTCTAAACAGGACAGCTATGCAACATAGTGAGATGGTACTACCTTACACGGTATAGTTGAATTTAATTACCAAAGTATCAAAAAGGTAACGACACTGGAAGGCCTGATATCTGCATGAATATGTACTAACCAGATTGTGTCTGAGGAAAATGCGGTTTTAAAAAAAAAAAATACAGTTTATGATATACAGTACTTCTTCAGTAAGAGAACTTGTCCAAAGTGAATACATCCTCTTTCAGCACGGATTTCTCGATGATTTCAAACAGTAATGTGAAAACTGAAATTACAGTACAACTGCTAACGCTGAGTGATACTTTGGTTAAATACATATGTTACACATCTGCGTGCAGATATCGGGCATTTCACCATGTTCTAGAAGAGGTTTTTTTACCCTGACATATTTATTCAAAAGTTTGTTATGAACCATTGAGATTGAGTTGTTTATGCATTTGATTTATCCATGAGTATCAGCACTCCTTACAGAATAGATCAAAACTAAACACTCTACATAGGACCAATAGAGCAGAATTATTCAAGTTCAATGAAATATTACAAAAAAGGCTTCCTTTTTAGGAAAACTCAGCTATGGTAAAAATATCTACTACAGTGCACTGCACTGTAATAAATATTCAACATAAATTAATAATTTACAAGTACCTGAGCAAGTGTACAGAGCACCATAGCACAGCACAGCACCAAAGGCAGTAGCTCAGAATTCTTAAAAATAATGCTGTTTTAAACATTAAAAATTCTAAGTATTGTCATAAAAATGAACTCCAGCTGGAGTTTAAAGATAGTGCAAACTTCTGTCTTCACTTTTTAAAACAAAGGTGTTGGATTTTCTAGTCATTTCACATCAGCAGTGTTGCTGGACCTGGATACCTGCGGTGGATGCTTAGGAGCAGGCCTGTCGGAAAGGAAGAAAATAGCAAACAGTTATTTAAACTTTTGTTAGTTCTCATGGCCAGCATCACGCCTGAGGCATGGAGAAGAATGGTAAAACCTCTTAAAGAGAGTTATCGAAGCTAATGTCAGACATGTAGCGTAGGACTCTCATACTGGGAGGAGATCGGGCATGGTCTATACACACAAGTCCCACCAAGAAGCGTAGGTGGTACCAGCAGACTCTTTCTTTTTTTTTTTTTTTGGTTTTTTCCCAGTTCAGGTGTTAATTGCTGTTTGGTCAGTGGGATAAGCTAGATCAATGATTCAGGTGTTGTTCTTTAAACTCTTGATTTCTTTGGGTGCTCATCAACTTCACACCTGTTCAAAAATGCTACCTAATGCTGTAGAGTAGCAGTTGATTTCAAAAAGTTGTAGGAGTCAGCTAGAAGTGTTATTACTTTCGGAATATCTTACTAGAATGGACAGCCAGGAGCTTAACCAGAGTTCACTCTTGCAGTCTTTTTGCTACAAGTATTCAGAAACTAACTTGATTCTACTTTTAATTTTTCTGAGCAATGTTAAGTGCCTCACTAGTGGAATTCCTGTAGCTGAAAATACTACTTTTATCTTCCTTGGAGCTCACTTTTTATTTGTAGGAAACTGAAGAACATTGGGTAAGACAATATCATTGACTATGCCCATTAACATTGGTCCTAGTTATTTCACTTCCAGATTATGTTTTTTCAACAACCTTTTTTTTTTTTTTTTGAAGGGTACACTTTGTGTGCTTTCTGAATGTTTTGGGTATTATTTTCAGATGATACAAACTGATGTTCCATTGTGAAATGTGTGAACAGAAAATTGCTTTTATTGGTGGTTGATCTTAACAGCATTCAGTTCTCGGCCTAATTCTGTAGGTGGTCTGAGTAGGAAATTTTTTTTCTGCAAGAGCTGTGTTTCTCTCTGGTGCTTATTAACTCCTTTCTTTTGCTAGGAATTGTATTTCGTGGGCAGTTTTTGTAAATATACAGTCAGATGCCTACAGTCAAATTTATATGTAGTATAAATTCTCATACTTGTGTGGAAATCAGTGCAGTTGTGCTGAATCAGAGTGATTTTCACTGCCAGTGAGAATCAGTCTGATACCGCATGCTTTTATAGAAGCAAGTAGAGAATGGCTGTTGCGTAGCTCTCGGCAACAGTTACAGCAGAGCATGGTTACTCAAGACATTTTAGACCTGTCGTTGAACGAAGTGCTATAAATCCAGGCATTTTGATTAGAACTAACCTTACGGGAGTAACGTGAGGCAGAGCTTTTGTGTGTCCAGGCACTGCTGGGCATGCACTGTTATAGCGCGCTTTGGTCAGAGGGTCTGCTGGTAGAGGCTTCTGAGGAGGGTTGGGTTTGTGGTTTTCCTATGAGAAAACATAAGGTCATATTAGTCGTTGGAATGGACGGAACATACTTAACGCAGCAACAACTGAGTTTATACTGAAGATAAGTGCGGAGTAGCTGCGACCAGATATCTAAATAAGTAAGCCATAACTTGTTTTTAATAAACAGGCACGTACATTTTAAAACAAAGTTTTAATACTGTATCTGAATGATTTTGTTTCTTTTGATTCTTTTCTCCAAAAATACTGGGTGCATCTATGCTGGAGTTAATCATTAATTGGTGGTAAATGAAAACAATATAAACTGAATACATAACATTGTAAAAGTAGTTCTATAGAAAGATGGAAATATTAGAAATTACTTTAAAATGCAAATTCAGATGACCACAGAAACAAACTGCTCAAGTCCAGTTTGAATTGGGAGCATCTGTGGATTTTTTTTTTTTTAGAGATGCTGTTGTGCTTTCATTCTGTGGAATTAAATGATTCATTAATAAAGAACAGAAGTCATCTGCTGTCAGGCATGAGCTAATGTCTCTTCTGTGTGGTCCTTGAAACACTGTAAACATGGTAACATGTCTATTTGTGGTCCTCATTTTGAAGAACTGGGATAGATTAAGTGACTTGCTCAGGGCACACAAAAACTCTCCGATATATCCAAAAACTCACTTCAGATCCTTCTACTATTTGAACTGCATAGTCATGCTTTTTCTAAGTAATTTTAGTCTTTACTATTAGTTTGCCATAACTATCATTAGTGAAGTTGACCGAAAAGAAACAAGAAGAGTTTACAAGCATAATCTAGTTAAAGATCCCCTGAAAGATGTAATCAAAACAAGCAGAGGTAGGAATTGCTCACGAATAAAGTACAACTTCTCAGGATCTGTTTTGAGCATCCCTTTGTTTTCTTACTTTTCATGGCAAATGTTTGCTCTTTCAAGAAGAAAATGCAGGTTAACTATCAGTAGGCATTTTAATAAAGAAGAAAATACGGAGCTTAAGTAAACCTCATACGTAGTCATTGCAAATTTACCACAAACTACATTTTAAAGCTGTATACAGTGTCCCTTTTCTTTTTCCCTATTGGCGTAACATGTACTGGTTCTTGAGTGAATGAGAAATAGCAGCATGAAAAACATTTCCTTATTTTAACTTAATGTTGTAGCCAAATCTCTCATCCAATGTAAAAATTAGTCTCTACTATCATCCAGAAGAACTTCTTCTACTATAAAACAAAAGAAACATTTTGCTATAAGAGCCTTGTCTGTGAGCTCTGTCTTTGGGGGGGAAAAAAAAAGATTGCAAACATTCTTGAAATAATCAGGCCAGGCAAATGATGGAATAAATAGCATGCTTGTAAATACTCTATTTAGCTTTATCTTACAGGGCTATCCTGTTGAAAGTCACAGAGTTTAATTAAGCACTTGCAAGGAAGTTCTTCAAAATGCGATCATTTCCCGTGATACAGAACTAGAACCTTAACTCTTAAGAGAAGAAATCTTACCATCACGATGTCTTAACTAAAGTTCACTTTGCGCGCTGAATTTCTTACACAGTAAAATCTTAATGTGTGTGTTTTGAAGAGATATATACCAGTTTGGAACAAGTTAGATCACAGAGGAAACCAGTACTTTTTAAATAACTGAATTCTCTCTACAGTAAAATATAAATTTAAGTTGCTTCTGTAATAATTTTTTTAAAGTTTTAACGTTGATTACATGGGAGAGTATATGCCTCATTACCTTGAGTATGACAGCATTGAAAAACCAAGTTGTAACAAACATCAGCATTACAAAGACAGCAAATAGCAAATGCATCTTTGAACACCATAAAGCCTTTATTCCCTTGCCTGCCTTCACAGAAATGGCCTTTTCCCTCAAGTACTTCTACATGATTAATCACATGAATTAGTCTGGTCACATGAGTATTCAGCTGTTTGCTTGATCAGTCCCTAATTGTTATTGCCTGATTTGTATTTATTCCTTCAACTGGCAGAATGCTTAGGTACCGTAATTGGGAAGAGGAGTTGATCCAGGCTCAGCAGTCTATAGAGAAACAAAAGTCTGAAGAGCTTAAGATCTGGTAAGGATGAATGAACAAAAAGAGAGGAGAACTGTCCTTGTTTGTTTGTGTTTATTAGGTGTGTCCTATGTCTAATCGCCACCTGCAACACGTGAGAGTAGGGAATGATTCACTTTCTGAGAGGAAGTACTGATGGGACCCTATCAGTTGCGTTTTCTCCCCTCTTTTTGCAGGGGAAGCTGGCTGAAATGGCTAATCCGTATGTGCTGATCTAGAACAGTTCTTCAGCTGTGGAGCGAGCATCCTCTCATGGCTGAGCATCAAGATTATCTTTGACACCTAAGCCAAAATAATTCTTTAGGACCTCTTATTCCAGAAGAAACATCCATGTGAGGAAGTATGTTGAAACAGCAATCATACTATAAATATAACTCTGATGGGTACACAAGCCCAACACCAGCTTTTTTTTTTTTTTTTTTCTTTTTTTCCCCCAGAGCTTGTAAAAATGTCATCCTTGAGTTAATATCCTTAAGGAGGAAGCAGCAAGGTGGCTTGACAGAAAGTCTAATATGGCAAGCTGGTAAGAAAGGGTAAAAGAAAAGGGTTTAAAAAAAAAAAAAGGTATTCAGAGAAAAATGGAGATGGAGAATGTGTAATGGCTGAGATGAAGGATAATGGAGGAGCACTTCCTAGAAAGGAGACACCAGCACTGGAAAAAGCCACCAGGAAAACATACATCCTTAGAAGCAGAGGAAAAAATATTTAAAGAAAGAAATACCCTCCCCCAAACTGATTACAGGATGGTCTTTTATATTCTTTATGTGCCACAGGAGAATCTAAACTGGTACAGCTTTGTACGTTAATGTGTGTGGCAACTTGCCTTTGATGTCCTGGCAAGTCTGTAGCACAGCTCATGGTACCACCATGGCTGTGCTTCGTCTCTCTTTCCTTTCTCCCAGTCTGTTTTTTTTTCCCCTAGAGAGCATCAGCTCTTCAATACAAAGAGTTTATGGATGGATTTCTTTGTCCAGTTTTATAGCAACAACTTAGCAGTTAATGCATTCAGTCTCCATCTGTATTTGGGGAGGTATTGTTTTAAATATAGTCATGATCTCTTTTTACAGCTCTGCTAGGAAGAAAAACATAATTCTCCTAGTGAGCACCTACAAAGACTTCAGGTGCATGAAGCTTTAGGTTTTTTCACTGGTTTTTTTCCACTGATTTTTAAATAAGCTACTGGAAGAAGGTTTTTGCCTGAAATGCACTGAGTGAGAAGAGGTGTCTTCCTCAATCTATTTAAATTAGAACTTAATTTGTGTTAGCCCTCTGTGTCTAAAGCCAGCCTGAGGTGTCACAGGAGATGTATTCACAGGAATAACTGTGGTAGAAAGAGCAGAAGGTGAGCCCAGCTCAGTTTTACTAGGAGAAAAGTAAAAATACAAAGCTATGTTTCCTGTAATAAGGATGACCTGTAAAATATGAGATATATTTTGGTAATAAGATGATGACAGTATCAGAGGCAGCAACTGAATGCTAACAGTAACAAAACCAAGTGGAAATGATCAAATCAGAATGCATGGACTGAACCCAGGGTTAGTATAAACCTGCACCGTTTCCTTGATTTCAGTGGTGCTGTGCTGGTTTATATTGACTGTGAATCTGGCCCGTAAATAAAGGGTTTGCTTTGCGAGAGCATCTGAGAGAAGAAAAAGCCGTTTATCAATCCAAAGATGGTTAAATATTAAACTTGGCAACACTTCATTTCTAAGTGGTTTTTTTGGTTGGTTTTTTGTTTTTTTTTTTTTTATTACTCTTTTACTTACACCTGAAAGGAAATTCTATAGCAAAATAATAATCCATTCTTTGCTGTCCCAACAGCCACTAGAGGGGAAAAGAGTTGTCTTAGAGTCTGCTCCGTACGTTGTGCCTCAGCTAGCCACTGCTCGAAGCCCGAAGGCAGCAGGAAAGTAGCTCGTGCTTCCCTGCACTTCTCAGAAGGCAGAAGCAGGAGGAGGCAGCTATGAAGCCATAGAAACAGTGAGTGTGTTCAGATACTCTTCTTCAGCACTACACTGCAGGACTGAGCATCTGGATGATATTATGAATGTAGCAATGATTTTTAAAGTGCCTCCTCTTGATGACCTGATGGATGCACTTCCAAGAGAGTGCTGAAGCAGTACATTAAGTAGTGTCTATATAAACTAGACCAAAACTATTCTCAAGTTAATTTACTTCTTCCAAGCTTTGAGGGGAGCAAAATTGTTGACTTCAGAAGAAAAGATTTTTTTCCCCATCCAGTGTTTTTCTGTGTCCCTAGGATATAAAAGGTAGCTATTGCTGACAGTCTTGAATTGAGGTTATGGACATAATTTTGAAAGAAGTCACTCTTGCTTATTCACTAGGTTGCCTTGAGTTGATCCCCTATTTGTCCTACTTCTGTTCCATGCAGCAACTGAAAATTGGAAACAGCGATATTTTGCTTGACGGAGTAACTGTCACAAGTAATTGGAGCTGCCAAACTGAAAAGCTTTTTGGCAGTTTCAGATCTGTCAGTCTTTGGTAATGATAGTACTAGAGATCTGGTATTCTACCTTGCACTTTATATGGGATTTGAAGGGGAGGGCACTTGGGAACATGAACGGTAGCGGTGCATTGGGCAGCTCTGATGTGCGATGACAGGCTGGGGCAGATACAGCTGCACCATCAGAATGAGAAATAGTTACTTTTTCTTGGAAAGCCTTTTCTCTATCTATCTTCTGCTAATGGGAGACAGTGTAAGCTTGTGAGCTGCTAGATAAGAAGAAATAAAGGAAATTTCTTTCTTTTTTTTAGGGAACCATTTGATTAAGAAATGGAAAAACACTTGTACTTAAAATCTTGACTTTGACCCCTGTGAAATATGCAGAATGTTTTAAGGAATACAAGAAAATAAACAACAAAACCATTGGCGCTAAAGACAAAAGCAACACTAACAAATACTACTTCAGATTTCCTACCAAATTGATTTTAGAAACAATTGGTATTTCCCATTCCCCTGAGATGGAAAATAAATGACTAGCAAGGTGGGAAAGAAGAAGAAAAAGCTTAAATGCTTTGGAAGTGATAAATAAACTGGACACACTTACAAAAGTTGGTCTAATCTGAATGATTCAATGTTCAGACTTAGACAAAATTAAAACTAGACAAAATTAAAACTAGACACACTTTTCCTGCTGTCATAATACGTAAGCACACTGCCATGGCAGCTCAGCGCCGTCTCATCCCTTTTTGTTTCTGTGTTCTTTTTACAACCACTTTTCAAAGCACTGCACTTCAGCAACTGTTTCTCATAGCTGTAGCCATCCCAATAAATCATTGGGAAAGCATCTTGGTGTAGCTCACAAGGTCGCTGCAGGAAGAAGGTGCTCTGTCCTTGGACATCCTAGCTAGGTTGCAGATAGGAGCAGTCAAGACACAGCTGTTTGAGTACGGATTTGCCGTATGTGCATCCAAATCAACGTGATACTCATTTAAGATAGCTCGGTGATAACGACATTTGCTTCATTTTAATCTTGTACTATATCCAGAATAGCACAATATCTACAAAACAGAAATAGTTGGGCACCTGATCCCTTTGCTTAGACACAGTCAACGCAGCCAAAAGAAAGAAGCCAGTGAGAAGAAAAGTGACAATTTAATACAGGCAACTTCATCTACCCTGAATATTGCCTTGAGATGCACCTTATTACAAAAAAAGGGTTACCAGCTCTATTTAAACGTTGCAATGAAGGGTACATCTACATGAAATGGTGTGGGTAGTTACAAGTCTGCTTTTCAGACCTGTGCTCTGGAAAAAAATATGCAATTCCTACGCCCCTCGGCAGAACAGAAGCACGTCGAGCTAATATACCTTTTGCTCTTGCACAAGATGTCTGCAATTTGACTTCCTAAACTATATCACTGTATTTGGCCCCTTGCTAACAGACTGACTGGGCAGCTGGCAAGATGAGCCTGTGTTTGCCGGTAATATGGAGCTTGTTTATACTGTTGTGTCTTTTGAGTGGTGAAAAGAGAGTCCAGGATCCTAAATTTTAAGATCACAGCCTCAGTTGGTATAAACCAATATAACCTTCATGAGCAAAGTGGGAGCTTAAGATATCTTTAAGAAATTATCTACACCTCATTTCTAAACTAGTACAAAGAAAATGCTGTGGGAAAAGGCCAGTATGAAAGATGAGAAAACACTTCATTCCTGTTCACCACATGCAGATACTCACACACTAAATATTAAATAGAAGAGAAGCTAAAAGAAAAGCAGGGTTACCTGGGCGAACCTCAGCGAAGGGTTAGCTGGCAAGGGTCTTTCAGGCACGGCATGATGACATGGCAGTTGGGGAAGGGGTGGAAGGACTCGCTGCGGTGTTTTTAATTGCGGCAAATTGTGTGTCTTCACAGGGTTACTAATGTCAATGATCTGATATGGCAGTGGCCTTCTTGGACCATCTCTCTGTGAAAACAACCCCACCCCAACAAAAAAGTTATGAACATCAAGAGCTGACTTAAGTGTTACTACTTTAAAAATGTATGTTATTCACTTGCTTTTCTCTTCCACTCTGCTTTGATCTATCTTCATCACCTTCGCAACCAGAGAAGCAATTAACAGCTTCCAGAGTCCTACTCGAGCACTAATCCTTCACTGTTCAGCTGTAGTGTTCTGGAGTAAGCTGGCTGGCTCTATCCTGGAGACTAAACTCTTTCTTTTCTGCACTTGACATATCTACCTGTCTAAAACTTGGAAGCCATAAATGTATTTTGAAGCCTACATCTTCTCCAGTTTTACATATTGTTAGTTCTACATGATATTAAGCTCATGTAATAATTGTGTTATAATAAATTACTTAAAGGAGATCAAAAATACGTAACATGCTTTTTTCTTCCCTTTTTTTTTTTTTTTAAACTACTTAGGGACTCACTTTTTGCATGTTTGTATTTTGTGGCTTCATGATGAGATTTTTACTGAGAGATGTGGTGTGAACATGATTAGGATCAGATGAACTGGAAGGTCTTGCTGGACTCACAGACCTGCAACACAAACATATATTTATTGAACGCAACATTCTACTTTATAACTTTTTTTTTTAAAAAAACAATAGCCTCTTTTCAGAATGATATTTTGCAAGGACTTTCTGACTTTTTATAGTAAACAAGGAAAGTAAAAATTGTCTAGTGCTCCTGCAAGAATAAAAATAAATATTGATTTTTTTGAAACCAGTAGTCTGTTAAATTAGCTTCTGCAATCTGTGGAAATGCAGCTTTGTAACACCCAAGAGACTATTCTAACGAATCTAGCATTTAAACAATAATGACCTCAAATATGAAAGTTTCAGCTCACTCGACTGAGTTTAGCTAAAAGGCCATGCAATGTAATGAAACTATAAAGGCAATACTTCCTTCACTTCTTAATTTTCTGTCACAAAAGAAAAGAGTTAAACCAAACCTACATTATTTAATGACAATCCATAAAGTTAAAGTAAACCAGGAAAAACACCGTGGCTAATACTTGGTGAATATTTTTGTGAAGGCTGTCTCTTTCTAGCTTATTCGCACCGCCCTGTGATGAATGTCAAGATGAGATGTGCCATGTTTACAGCTACTTTCTACTGATATCTATTAGAGTATAATTAGGGAAAATGATCATACCTTAGTTTCTCTATTGTTGTCTTTTTACTTGTAAACAACCACCTCATGAAAGTCTTCCTTTTCAGATACATGATCGATCCAGCAAAGATAAGGCACAGAATGGTTATCAACACTCCTATGGTTAAACTCTTATTGTCTGCAACAAAACGCATTGAGTTAACTTCTATCAAGAGCCATCTTGACTGAAATGTGTTACGTGGATGGAGCAGGACAGTGCTGCCTGGCCCGGGTTTCTAACTGCAGTGCAGGTGAAGTGAATAAACTATGAATTAAAGACTAATAAACTCTTATTTCTTCTAGCCTGGAGCTTGAATTTTGCTCTGGTTTAAAGTTATTTAACATTGGGGAAAAACTGGTCAAAATATAGCGCTGTAGGTCCCTTCCAACTAACTGTTGTATTCTGTTCTATTCTAGGCAGATATCTGGGTCCAAACGCAAACATCTCCATGTCTTCTCTCTGCACCTATGTTCGGGTCCTGCTTGGGTTGTCACCTGCAAATGGGGCCATGAGGCTGTTGGCCTCATCCGGACACCACAGGGTGATGGCTGGAGCAAAGCCAACTGGCACCTCCACGGGCTGCCTGCTGCCAGGGTGGGAGGGAGGCAGAGGCTGAGAGGGAGGGAGGAGGGACGGAAATGCCTAGATCACGGTTTGGCCATTTAAAAGTGCAAACTTTTAAATGTTCTGCCCCTCAAACAGAGGCAGTAAGCCTAGCTCCTTTATAACCAGATTTTAAGGGTTTCGTTGTGCTTTAACGCCGGGCAAACAGTCTGGAATCTGGAGTACTGTGGTCCAGCCCAGCCGGCTGTCAGGTTGAATCTGGAGGCAAGCGAGGAGCCGAAGGAAAGCTTTCAGCAACAGTGTTGTGTGCTCTCAGAGGGATGCTCTGCTTAGGAGGGGCTGCAGCCTTCTGTACTTGTTCCAGTTTTCGGAGTGCTTTAAGCTGCTTTAAGTACCTTGCTGGGACCCAAGTGAGGCGCAATAGTGAGATGAACCCTGACTAGACGACTCGCAGCTGAAAGCAAGCCTTATTTTTAGGAAGAGGTAAGCAGCAGCTCTGATCGTTACGGATATGTGATATGATCGTTGCCTGGAGGAGAGGATGTTGTGATTCTTCAGGACTGCTGACCTAAAAAATGCACGCTCCAACAGTAGGAGAAACATCTTTAATCTTTGCTCCGGTAACCTGTCATCGCTGTCTCAGTCTTATCCTGATTGATTTTCAGCCAGCTGGCTCTCGCCTACTGGCCTGAGCTCACTCGGATGCTGGTGGACGGAGTCGGCAGCTCTGATGGAGCAAACTGCACGTGGAGCTTGATGGGGCAAGAAGTGCTAAGCTTTTTACCTTACAGCGCTGCAGAGTAATAAATCCCTCACCACCCCTAAAAGTTTAATAAAATTAATCAGCTAAGATTATGCAATTTAAATTGATTAACTTCTCTACCTAACAATTAAATATTTAAGGCTTCTTTCTAAGAAAAATATAGTGTCAAACACACGCGTTTATTCTAAGTCAGCTGGGTGAAATCAGTTACTAAATGCTAATGAGACCGTGTGCCTTGTTTGACTAAGATGAAAGTATTTTATTGAGCTAATCCTTCTGTAATTTGATTTAGAGATGTGCAAACTGCTTGGATCATAATCCAAACCACCCCATTAAGTGTTCATATTTAAATCCAAGTGTCAGCGATAGAAAATTAGGTCCTCTAGCAATTTCCATATTTGTTTATTCCCAGTATTACTGAATGTAGCAGTGTCTTTTGAGAAAAATGGTGAAACTACCGCACTATATTAAACTATTGTTAAAACAATTTTCTGTTAAATTGAAGAGTTAGCTTCCAAAACACAAAATGCAAGAAAGAGCAAAGATGTCCTATATTTGTCTTCTCCCGTTAGTGTTGCCTGTGCAGCACGTTATTATAATATATTTTGTAGCTCTCTAGATCCTTAGCTTTCAGGTAAGCTGAAAAAGCACTACAATGCTTTAAGGCAAATCTTAAAAGAAAACATTTAACACACAAGTAATCGCTCTTGTTCAGTGCCTGAGCACGGTTTCTTTGCTATGTTACTGACTGGTAGGTATTTCAAAAAAAAAAAAAAAAAAGATCTTTCAACAGTGAAATCATAATGTGGAGCCTTGTTATGGAAATGACCATGATGTCGTAAATCCAGTATTACAATTCACTGCAGGATCTGGCATGTAGAGAATACAATCCGTTTTGGTTTTGAATAGCATTATTTGTATGAAAACAGGCAGATAATTTTCCAGCAAGTTTTAGTTTACATATGTATATGTGAGTAGACTGCTTGTCTTGTCCCTTGCTCAGACATAAATCAGAAACAACTCCATGGAAGTCACTAAATTTACAGTACTCTGGAGAAAAATTGGCCTGTGATGATTATTAAATCCTATAAAATTCACAATGTGTAGAAATAATTCTTTCTGAGGTTGGCCAAAGGTGATGGAAGATACTATAGCCGATGTTCTGCAGACTGAACAAGGGGAAATTGAAATACAAATTATAGAAAATGCACATCTCCTACTACTATCATATGTGAGGGCAACTTCTAGTAAATGCGTGGAAGCTATCTATAAAACGTAGTTTTAATCTGAAAACGGTCAGAAATCTGCTCTTTTCCACAACACAAATGATCCTCCTTAGAAGCACAGTATCAAATATAGTTTTGTTTTTTGATTAGGCAATAATTTTGCATTTATAACTTACTGCAATATTCATTAGGCACACAGCTACAGAAGCAGGTTATGTGTACAATAAGCTGGTTCTATCCTGATGCACTCGGTGGAGAACACTGGAGCTTGGCATACCTCAAGGTGAATCCAAGAGTACTGCAACATTCATCTACCATGGCAACAGGATTAGCTCGAGTGTGGGAGTTAGCTCCTCACCCTTGCCCTAAATCAATACCACTTCCTACTTATTGCAGTGAGCTACTAAACTTGACCATGTATCTTGAAAAAAAAAAACCAGAAAGGCAAAAAAAGGTAAAGAAAAGAACCCACCAGGACCACTGTGCCTTTAGTTATGCAAGAAAATGATTGCACCCAGCTAGCCTTGGTTTCCCTTCGCTGAATTTTCGAGTTGGTGCCAATGTGTTTGGATTAAGCTACTTGATTTACTGACTTATTTCCCAATCTTGTAAGCTCATTGCTTGCAAGACGACACTTTGTGTTTCCACTCTTTATCCTGGAAACTACAAGTAAAGCATGAGTTGCTACTCACCTGCTTGCCTAATTGGTCCGCTGTCCATGCTGCCACCAAACCCTGGCTTGTCGCAGTAGGGGGGGGCCCAGTCAGCCTCGCAGTGACAGTTCTTTTTGTTGTTACAGACCTGCAAAACAAGAGAAATGACCTAACGTGAGAAGGATTACCCTACACATCCGAGCACAGCGGTGGCTCATAAGGCCTCCTAATCAGATAGTGACACATCTGAAAGAAAGAAAACTTAGAGAAGAAAAGAGATGTACTGGTATCTGCATAATGGCACAACTAAGATGGCATAGAGCAACTCAGAGGGCAAGAAGACACCATGGAGCAACAGGGATCCTAAAAAAAAGCATTATTTATTTGGCAGGTAATCATTTGAGTTGCACCAGCTGACAACTTCAATAATATAAGGATAATCACACAGCTCTGAAGTCTTATTCCCTCTTTGCCTCCAGCAGCAACATTATCTGCTTTCTAACTTCTGTTCCTTCTGCCTTCATAGGAACAAGAGTCTCTGGGTGCTGTTAAAGGCTGGAAAGCTTTGTCAGCCCTCTTGAACACTCCTAGCCATCAAGGGCTTGCCCTAGCTTGCATACTGATTTTTCCACCGCTCAGTTCCCGCAGCTCTAAGAGGAACCAGTCGCTGGAAGAGCATGTGGAACTGGAATCAGGGCTGAGGATCCCTCCCTTTGGCATCACACCTGCGCCGTCTATAAAGATACAGTCCTCAGTGTTCTGGGCGTTCTATTCTGAGTTAAGGAACAACTCGCAAGGCCTGATTTACCAAATGCACCCTGCTGAATAAGAGAGCTCCGAAGGACTGGAGTCCGTCATTAACATCAGCCTGTTCCCGCTGCGGAGAGCAGAAGGAGCCGGTAGACCCCCGGCTTTTTCCTCAGGAGGTCCCACAGCCCCAAACACCCATCAAAAGAAGGGCTGCTTTTTATTTCCTTTTGCTACCACCCAAGCGGCGGCTACGTGACTAACACAGAGACTAAAGCTCCGTGCTGTATCGACAGAATACGTGAACTGAACGGGCCCAAAATTTTGTTGGACAGGAGGGACATGGCATAGTCACGTGTAGATGCTCAAACTGATTTTTAAATAAAGGTTTTGGGCTTAGTGCTAGTTGTCAATATGGTCCTAAATTCTGTGCTGACACTGATCATCACTGATCTACCACCACCATGGAGAAACCACACAACAGATTAATAAATGGATTTCTCAGTAAGACGCTAGTTAGTTCACAGAGGTTTGCAAATACGCATTTTTTTTCTGGCAAGGTCAGCTGGCTGGCTTTCAGAAAGACTATACTGGCTGTGTCTGCAGAGTATTAAAATATTCACATAGCTTAGACTGGCTATGGTTATGTAAAATGAAAAAAAAAAATTACTTTTCAAAGACAGCTAGATAATTAAAAATATTATTCTTTAAGCATTATTTTTTAAATTGAAGCACTACAGACATTCCCATCTACATTTCCACGAGGCCATTTTTTGCGACTCAGGAGTCACCAGAGGTTCTCCGTCATACAGACATAAAGATGCCAGTCTAAGCCAATGCTCATTCCTGCACAATGCTAACGTGCGGCACCACCAGCACTGCACAGTTTTTCAAATGTGGGATGATAAAATAAGTTAAAGCAAATTAAAATCCCTTCTCAGGAGAGGACAGAGAATTTCCTATGGCTCTTCCAATGTGGTTGCCACAGCTTTTCACAGAAACAAACAGATCATCAGCAAACCAAGGTTAATAAGGCATAGCTTGACATAATTAACATTTTCATAATATAAACTAGGCTTCAAAACACTTTGGTATTATTAACTGATATCATCAAATTTTTCATCCTGCACCACTTTCATACCATGAAACTCATTAATATGGTTTTACTTTATTTTAGTACTTTTGGAAATGCTTTTCCATTTCACTCTCAATTCAAATGCGTATTTTAACTTCTCTGTATCTACATAGAAACTATTTTTTGAAATGTTAATGGGAATTCTTCATGCAGGAAGGTTAGACTTAAAATTGCTTTGAAGAGGACAAAATTCCTTTTTATCACAGACTGTTAATTAAGAACAAGATAATTACTACTTGATAAATATTTCTTCGTTAAATAAAAATAATTTAATTTCTTGCAGTTCATATAAGGGACAGTGAAAATGGAAATAGATAATAAAAAAGTATCGCAGTGACTTTGACTGATACATTACAAACAATCATAGATCCCAAAGCTATTACATAAAATGATTTCTTGTCCAGTGTTTATTGACTGATGATTGTAAAAAAAAAAGTGTTCCTATAATGCTTACTCCACGTCCATGGCACTTTGTTGCACATTTATGTACACCAAAAACACTCGTATTCTGGCACCGGCGATTAAGGCAAATCTGCAAAATAAGAGAAGAGGGGTTTCAATAAGGACAGAACTGCTGTGCTCACAAGGCAGCACGTCCCTCTCTGTGTGTCTTCGGCCATCGATGGTTCTTTTTAGCAGTTAAAGATTTCCCAGTGCACGTGCTGCATTGACAGCCTTCCACTGACAAAAAGATAAGGACACCAGAATTAGGTGTCTTCTTCTTCTGCCTTTGTAAGTGTTTCGGGTCAAAATCTGTGGAAGTTGAAGTCTGCTCTCGATCGGCATCCTGGCCAATACTGAATTTCAGCCATAGCTCATATTTGGTTCCTACGCTGAGCTTGTGTAAATAAACACTCACAGTTTCACTGAAGTGGAACTAGTGGTGAGCTGCTGGGGTTTCAGGGGTTTTTTAAGCCAATTTAAAAAAGAGCAATTTGCATTTTTTCAGGACTAGGAATGCACTGAGCAGGATTCTTCTTTGTACCTGATCTGGCTACATTCATCTCTTCACAGCAGCAGATGATTCCTCAAGGAAAGGGTCAGGTCCCCTCATGGTGTAAATTAGCACAGCTCTGTTTATATCAATCGTGCAATACTTTTTCCTGCTAGTATGGAACTTGGACCCCGGACAGCCTGAATATTTAACTGAGGTCATTGATATATATGGGCTCATCATTGTTCTTAACTGAGACCTTTCTATGAGTTTGCCCAAGCTAAACTATTTTTTTGGTGTCAAATATAAACCGACCATATTTAAAGTGTAATAATAATCTTATAGGAAATGGAAGTAAACAAATAGCATATGCAAAGTAATAAAATTCAATTTTTTTTTTGTTTTCCAGTCTTTATGGGCAAACTTTACTCTGCCAATATAGCTGAAATTTGAGGTAAAGCAAGATTAGTACCACCTAATAATACCATCAAACAATCAAATGACTTATGAAGATGTCAGTAACGAGAAATTATCCTACTCAAAATTGAAAAACCAAGAAATTAAGACTGGAATAACTGTTACTATGCTATATTGACCAAAAAATAAATAAGAAAAAAAAAAAAAATCACTGCACAATTTTGCTCATGTTTAACTGCAGTTCAGTTCAGTAGTACCAAAAGTCAGTCACAATAATTAGCATTAAGCAGGGAACAGTGTTGAAGGAGACGACATGGATGCTTAATCAGGGCACTTATCCCCTGGGGAGAAGGAAAAAATGGAAAGGAAATTGGAGTGAATTGGCATCAACATGCACGCATGTAGAGAATATGGTCTGATTACAGCAGTATTCACAATTCAAATATTCATAGTGCAGTAGCACGCAGAATTTTGATCACATTAAAATGGCTGCATTTCAAATTGTGTATCTTCAGCTTAGAGAACTCAAGAATATTTAAATTCATATTCTTAATCCGTAATACAAATGCACTAATGTCCTCAAAGTAAAACATACAATTTCATAAGTATTAGCCTGTGTATTCTATAGTATGTATGTGTATGATTAGATAGATTAGAAAGATTAAATACTCATTAGTAAAACATAATGGGGTGCTTTCCCAGCGTTGAATTTTCTTTGAAAAGACATTTTAGAACAGATTGACTTAGAAATGTAAGGGTTGTTTTCCTGTAACAGAACTGTAGTTTCACTAGGGACGTATTTTAAACCAGTTCCCAATGCACTGTGATAATCCAACATAAATCAAAAGCATTCAGAAATTCAGAGGCTTACTTGAATTTACCACAAATTTTCAAAGCACTTTTTTTTTTTTTCCCTTCTTGTAAGTAATCCACTGAGGGTATGGAAACCTTCTTCATTTCAATAGTTCTTGGACTGCTTTCCATTCCTTCCCCCTGTAAACTCATGGCTGTTTCCCATCTTTCTCTGTTCCTTTTCTCACAAAAGTAAAACTAAGAATGAGACAGCTATATGAAATTTGGACTACATTCGCATTGCATAATTCAGTAAGTTTGCAAAATATGATTGCAAAAATCAGTTCTGGCGGCTGAACATCAATGGGGTTATATTTTCCTAATAGTGCATAGATAGCTAGCTTTTCCTGCAAGAAAAAAAAGGGGGGGGGGAACCATAATCATAGAATCATAGAATCGTTTAGGTTGGAAAAGACCTTTAAGATCATCCAGTCCAACCATTAACCTAACACTACCAAGTCCACCACTAAACCAATTCAGGGTAGAGTAGCAATTTCGTGTTTCCTGGCTTAGTGGCTGGATTATTTTTAATGAAAGTAAAAACTAGGAATCATTAAGGTTGGAAAGGATCTGTAATATCATCAGTCCAACCATGAACCCAACACCAGCAGATATAATACATTTTGAAACCTAAAGTGACGTTAATGAGAATTTTGCAATGCCATAGACACTGGGAAAGTGGATACATTGAACTCCTCAGAAATTCATTAACGATCCTGTAATGTATTTTGGTGTACATATTTTGCAGAAAACCTCTAGCCTACATGGACAGATACTTGGGACTGTCCTCAAAAACTGTTATAAACTTAAGCAACTTGCATTGCATCTGCAAATCTGTAATCCAGAACAGTGGCCAAAAGAAGGAGGGAGTTGAAAATCTGACTCAGTGTGAGCATGAGAACCAATTTTTTTTGTGGAAAAAAATAACCCCAAAGCAGAAAACAGCCAGATTAGTAGAAAATACTTTGCAGCATGAGGGTAGCAATGTTTTCCTTGTTTGGGAGTACTTCAGAACCTTACTTTTCCATCTTCACACTTGGTTCCTGACAGCACAAGACCAGGATCGGGCATATCATCACCCAAATACACGTGGGTACCACGACACAGAATCTTGCCACCTTCCTGAAGCGGGATATTAGTTTCTATGGAAACAGCATTGGTACCAATTACAGGTCGATTTGCTCCCCCTTGACACTGAATTTTTCCACATTTAGCATCTCTGAAGGAAATAAACAAAACCAAAAATTAGTTAAATAATTGCAAAAGTTGTAAGCCCTCTCCCACCACCCTTGCATCTGTTTGTAAGGAGAGACCCTACCTGGGTTCACATTTGGCAAAGGAGCTCTTGGAGTCTTTGCCACAGTTGCCATAAGGATCACCTGCAGAATTGACTCTCTCAAAGCAGATCCCGGGAGCAGGTTTCGCACCTGAAAAAAAACCCCTAATCAGAACTTCCATCTCATACAAGGTGTTTTTAATAATTTTGTTTGAGCTCCACTGATGCTTTAGGGGAAGATAAGATGTGATCTTCATATTGATGAAACACAACAAAACAGTCGTGCTGGATCAGCATGCTAATTGAAGAGCCTGAATGTGCGGGTTTTCCACTGTTATTTGTCTCTCTTGGCAATGCTGAGCAATCGACAATGCAGAACTCAATCTCTTTCAGAATTTCTCTAGATGATATCCCTCTTGTGAATCCTCCTAGGACACAAAAACTTTTAGCAAATGCCAAATCTAGTTCGGTGAAGAAAGACAAAGGCCAGCTGGTAAGTTAACTCCGTTCTTTTTACAGGAGTCCACATGATTCTAGTGAAAGCCCAAGAGCTAAAGCCAAAGAAAATACTTTTCAAGAAAGGCCTTTTTAAGTGCAATTCAGAACAACATGAAACCAGAAGATATCCAGTTGCAAACTAGGGTGCTATGTGGCCGTAAAAACACGAACATGTGACATGGCAAAGAGAACGTGCTGCTGTTAGCTCAAGCTAATGTACTGGGGAGAGGAAGAGAACCCATCCCCACCTTAATCCTCAGCAAATTCACTCCTGAGAGGAAAGACTGACTTGAAAGACGGGTCATTTCTACCATGGTGGTAGAAGTAGGAATCTGGGAAGACAGGCAGCATCTGGTTCTTATCTACCATAGCCTTTTATGATGGAGACATGTCCTAACAGCAAAGGAACTTTCCTGATGGGAGTAGTACTGGAAATGTTTGTGCAGACAGATTACTCATTCCTACGTTTTAGAAGTTAAAAGGTACTATTAGAACATCCATTCTAATGTCTTATACAGACAATATCCTGTCCATTTTTTCCCCAGATTATGACCAAGTATTGAATATCTTCTAGGGGAAGATACATGCGTTCATCTGAAATGTCTAAGAGGTGGAGGATCTACTTCCCTAGTTTGACTATTGCAATGATTAATTAGTCCATGTATTAGAATTTAATCCCTCTGTTCTAATATGTAGTGTGGCTTTTGTGTCCAGCCAATAATTGCTGCTCTTTGTAAGATTAAGAAGCCCCTTGCTAGGGCCCTTTACTACCCCATATTTTCTTTCCATGAAGATAATTAGTAGCACAATCAAGTCATTGCCAACATTTCAACTACTCCAATAGACAGCTTAGCTTTGAGGAGACGAGGTCGTAAGGAGACACACTGGCTAAAACTCTTAACAGATATCTGCTAGATACATTTTTGTACTTTTGATAGATCAGCCAAACTAAAATGAAAAGAAATGGCAACAAATGATGTGATAGCCTAAAGGCTGCAAATATACCTTTCCTACAGTGTTCCCTGATCTTTAACAGAGACAGAATATCTGAGTTAACGTTACATTTTTTTTCAAATGTTTTGAGCCATTTCCAAGTGTGTATGCCTCTAACTGTGGGTAAAACATATAATTTATTTAAACCATCCTGAAGATTTCATTTGAAAGCCTTCAAAGAGGAAGAAGGTTTAAAAAAACAAACAAACAAAGGGGGTCAAATTCCTGGAGAAGAAAACACAAGTATGATTGTAAAACTTCCAGTTGGTGTGGATTTTTTCACTAATAACTCAAAGATTAAAGCCTCAATTAATTATCTGCATTTCACAGTTAGAAGCTTGACTAATACTATATACTGCCGAACAGCAATCGAATGCTATTAAGAACAAAATATTAAAACTTGAGGAGCTTAAGATGGCACCCTTTTTTCCTTCTAACATTTTTACATACTGAAACTGGAAAACTCAGAAAGCAAGGCACAGAAGGAATGGAGCATGAGCTGCTGGTTCCCTGGAGAGCAGGACAAGAGCTTGAAATTCTTTGGAAGATTACGATCAAGCTTGCTGAGTTCAGAATATTTCTCAAATCTGGAACTATTAAAAGGGACTCACACAGGATTCTTTCACTTCTTTTCATTAAACCACAAGCAATAATCAAAAAATCAACAAAAGCATCCAGACAAGGCACTGTGCAAAAAGCAAAAGTAAAATTTCCATTTTCAGCATGTAGATTCCTCCTCGTCTTTCCAGGGCGGGCACATTAACTATTCAGCTTGATACAAGCATTAACATGTGCATATACTATGCCAGCTTCAGAAGGGATGGGGAGGGAAGGAAAAAAACATGCCGTAAGCAAGAGGCCAAGTAAAACTGCTTTTTCTTCCACACCTGCAAAGACCGACTTGCTCGGACCTACCTCGCCAAAGGAATAAGCCCCCCACCCATCTACCATGATCGTATACAATAGCTGGGGGTCTCGGTTTTTTCTTGGCCGGGAGCCTTGTGCCCCAACTAGTTCAGCCCACGGCGTATCATTGGAATGACTGGAAGCTTCCTCGGAGATTTGTCCCCAGCAGCCCAGAGCACAGACATACTTTCCCCAGAGTGGTGTGTAGCTCCAAAAACTGCCAAAAGCAAAATGAATGCGCACGTCCTGTGCTTCGACTGTGAGTGGCCTAACAAAGACTTATTAAAAAAAATGGTGTTAAAGGGAGAAAGGGCTCCCTGAAATACAAAGAGGTTTTAAGGTATTTATCTTCCTCTTTCACCTGGTGAAACTTTTTTTTTTTTTTTTTTTTTTTTTTTTTTTTTTTTTTTTTTTTGACAGGAAAGATGGCTATCTAATGTAGTTTTTTTTTTTTTTTTTTTTTTTTTTTTTTGACTGTAGGAGTCAAGTGTGCTACATATGATGGAAAGCAGCCCGCAGGAAGAACAACACATCTGCAGCATCCTTGCCGGGCTCAGACAGTGAGCTTTAACTCCAACCAATAATACTTGACAAGAAAACAGATCTCATGGAGTACAAAAAAATGCTCCCCTGCTAGGCTCGGAGCAGTCTGTGTATGAAAACACCTGGTACCCAATGATCATCTGTGGCTTGGAAACCAAAATCTAGCTTCAATTTCTGTCTTTGGGATCAAACCAAAACACATTGTTGCTTGGGATTCAGATGGCTGTTCCCCCTCCTGACTGGTTTCTCACAATATTCGGACTTTTTTATAGATGAAAATGTATCAGAGTGTAAGAAGCTGAACAGATGGAGCTACCAAGTTAAAAGGAGGTTTTCAGAGGATGCTTAAGGAAGAGAATTGCAATGTTGTGTTTCTGGAGGAAACCCATTTATCATGACTGTACCATATAAACTGAAGCAGAAAGTCCTGTCTTTCTCTATTTTGCTACCTCTATAGGCAGAGGCAAAATGATTTGTGAAAGATTTCTAGTGGTTATTAAGTGCTTTGAGCTGGATGAACGGAGTTTATTTCACTTTGCTATTGATAATTATAGTATCATGACCCTGTAATTAAGGTCCTGTCAGCCTTTCCACGCCAAACCTTATTCAAGGGATTAAATCAGCCATTTGAAACTGCAGAAGGTTAAAGTTCACCACTGCAGTTGTCAGCCTGGAGAATATGGTTGGTTTTTTTTTCCCCTCCAAATGTGTATATTGATAAGCTCGCTTCTTCCCTATATGGTTGCAAAAAAAGAGTTGTTCTATGCTTTTGGAAGCAATACAGAAATGCTGTGTCATTTCAGATCAGTGCAAGACCTGCTGCAATGAGAAAATACCGTCACAGTCTCCCGAAAGACAAGAGAGAAATTTCTGACCATGGTGCTGATTCCCAGAACAGAGAAACACCCGATATCAGGCTGACAGCGGAAAAGATATTTCAATTCAGTTCACAACATTGTCTCAAGACTTATTTTAAAAAAATATACAGCATTTATGGGCGTGGAGGGGAAAAAAAACCCAACCTCCGAGTAACAGACTGGAGTTCTGTTGCTCAGGCTGTGCCAACTAACACCATGAACAACTGTATAAATAAATATAAGCATAAAAATACAGTTCTCTGTCATGCGATTTGCACCTGGATTTTATATCTCATTAAGTTTGTTTTACTGCACTGATGATGCAAAGCAAACTTTCCACAAGCTCCCCTTGGCTTCTCTCTTCATCTTGGTGATCCCTGTTGTTAAGTCTGTGCAAGAGCAAGGAGGGGTTGAGCTGTTATTTTTTGCATTTAAGGAGTATGCTAGCTCTCACTGTCTCTGAGAATATGGCTTAATGCCTTTCACATCTCCAAAAGAAAAGGCTTGGCCGTAACTTTGTGATGATTTACTACTCTACCCTGAATTGGTTTAGTGGTGGACTTGGTAGTGTTAGGTTAATGGTTGGACTGGATGATCTTAAAGGTCTTTTCCAGCCTAAATGATTCTATGATTCTATGATCAAAATAGTTTGATTTTACCAAATTAAAATCTTTAGTGCTTGGATAAATTAGTATTTTTGCAAAAAACAGTTCGCAATGGTTTGGTCAGCTAACTTAGGTGGGAAGCCCATCTATTTTGCCTATAGGGTTGTACCCGGAAAAAACTGCAATGCTCTTACACCAGTGACAGGCCTTTGTAACAAATATTGACATTAAAATTAAGATTGCTCCTGCCTAAGCAAATGGCCATGACTATGCAACAAATTTAAGCATGTTCTAATTATTAAATCAATGTCTGCCATTGGCTCCACAAAATCATTGCTTTTTTCCCTCTTGGGGAAAAGTTGGAAAACACACTGACAAACATCTCCTTTCCTTCCCTAAAGAATAATTTTCTTGTCCATGTAGAAAAAGCCATGAGTCTAAAGCTGAGAATTATCTGTTTCTTGGTAATCGATAATTTCTCTCTCTTAAGTAGCTTTATCTGTGTATCTAGTTGCTCCCGGAAAATGCCAATGGAGTACCAGACATTACACAGATGCATAACTATCGATGTATCTTTCAGTCACATTACTATCAATAGGTCAGATCAGTGCAATTTGATATTTTTGAATAAGAAACACAAAAGGTCGCAAGCAATTCACGCGTATTGCTCCTTAAAGAGAAAAATGACATGCATTAAGGTGAGAGAGAGAGTAGAGAAACTGGTGTGTTCTCAGAATGAACTTGGTCTTTAAGAGGAAGTTAGGGCTACTTTCAGAGACTGTCCCCAGTGCTCCTCCCCTCCTTCACACCAAGCTTTCCATGCTATTGTAGATAGGGAATAGCAAAAAATATTTCTCTATTTGATTTGAATTTATCTGTTGGAAGTAACAAAAAACCCCAAGGAAATGCAAGTACTTCTTTCTGATTCCTACTGCTCAGCCCAATGTAAACAAGCTCTGAGAGTGCCCATCATTTTTCTTTAGCTAGATCTAAAAATATTAAGATTGGTGTTTATCACTGGGCTACTGGACATCTCTAATCTGATGAATAAAGAAAGAGATACAAAAGAAGACATTGATAAGGAATTCAATACACTGAATGTTATTTTAAGAAAAGTTATTGTATTTTGTTCTGCATGGCCTTCTCCTACTGGGAAGAAGTAAAAAGGAATTAATGTAGATGAACTATGATCTGTTTTCTCTTTACGGTATAGAATTTTTTTTTTTTTAAAACCACACAACTACTCCTTCACTCCACTCCAACACACAGTTGTTAAAAACAATTTTAATCAATTTCAACAGCCTGGTGAAAGTTTCAAATGTATCTTTTTGATATGATGTCCAGAGACAACATCTTAGAATATCAAGTCTCTCTTTCTGCTGCAAGCAAGGCTGGATGGAAAGTTTTTTTTATCTGTCCCACGATAATTTTCCAACTGTGTGGCCCACCTAACCCTCTTCCCATTCTACCCCGCATCTGCCAGCTCATATTCCAACCAGATGTGATCAAGAGGTGGATATTCACATCCCTAGGATATAGGCCTTGGTTTTTGCTTGAACCCTATCTGCCAAACTGCTTGAAGGTTTACTTTACCGGCATTATTTCTAATTTATACTTCCAACAATGTGATCAGAACCAAGCCTTTCAGTTCAGGTTTGGTAATGTCCCAACCTCCCCCTCAAAATCTTTATCCTTGGGTATTCCCAAGACAAAGGGTATTCCAGTTAAAGTCTTTTTGAGCTTTGTTCTTAACAAAGTCATCTTTCTCATAAGCAGACCCCCATAGCCTTGACCGCTGGAGACTCCATGCACAGCAGTGCCCATATTGAATATTCCTCCAAGAAAGAAGACAAGACAGAATTAGGGGAGCCCGAGGGGTTTGGAGGACGTGCTGCATTAGGAAACAGACCTGGCAAGGGAGCTGCAGCAATTCAGCTCCCTGACCTTTAACTGAATTTTTCTCAGCGACTGAAATTATTAACAGTCCTACCGAGTAACTTTCCATGGCATGGGAAACTGGTTCATAAGGAGATTTTGCTTTATACAAGAGAAAATGTCTCTGTATCCAGGGGATTAAAAATCCCAGCATGACTAAGACTGGAGGCTATAATTGTACATGCCTATATGAGCTCATACGAACTCTACGACGCGAGTGGGATTCGGAGGAGTATATCAGATGTGTGGTTTGTTCCACGTGGGGAGTTTAATTTTGAATTGGAACTCCTCTAATATGTTCTTATACCCACATGACCAAGCTAACCTATCTGCATCAGTGGCATTATTTCTCCAGATCTCTTTAAAGTGAAAATTTTGAGTGGTCCAAGTCCCTCTGAAGGTAACAGATAAATTCTTCAATGGGCTTCTGATGAGGGTTTTGACCAAGGGAAACATCTGTATGTCATTATATTGATACATAAGTTCTGAAACAGAGTTAAAGGCAGAGAGATACTGAATTGAAAGAGGCTAAGGGAGTGGAAAATGTTAGTTTAAAAGACATAATTAAATCCAGCTCTAAATAATGCTTCTCCTCAGGAGAGTTCAAAGTGGTTTTCCCATGTGAAAGAGGGGGCAAGTAAGATTTTGGAGGAGACATGACATGTCCCCAGCGATGCCGGAGGCAATAGCAAAATGCTGAGTTAATACTCGTATTTCAGTGGAAAGGCCACAGGATGTAACAGAAAGCTGAACAACTTTGCTGGGATATCATCTGTTTAGGATACCCCAAGAACTATGCGATTAGATTTTTTGCAAAAAGTAAGTAAATTCCCATGGGAGAATAAAATCTCCTTCTGCTTCAGTGCATACTCTGCTAAGAGTACTGTCAGGATGCAGGTTTACAGGGTAACGCCAATTAATAAAATACACACAACAATACAAGACTCTTATGTTAATGGCAAATATTAAACTCTGTTTTGGGATGTAGACAGACATATGTTTTGCAGATGAGCAATTCAGAGCACAGAAGGAAGCTTACATACCAGTCTGAAAAGGGACGCGATTTCGACCTGTCAAGAGCGTTCAGCACTTCGTAGGACAACATAAGCCCGTATCAAAGTCAGTATTAAGTGATTTGTCTAAGTTCACATAGCCATTTGCAGCAGCGTGGCAGAACGAACCTGGTTACTGTTGCTCTCTACCTCCTGCTGCAAGAAACCAACGCGACTGCAAATCACGGCTAAAATGAATCACAAAATGATTCCCTCATTATTCAGTTCTCCATTTTTGAAAAGAATAGATACAGATTGGTACTGTATAAAATTCCTCCAAATCCATCTATAATCACACGCTTTTTTTTTTTTTTTTTTTTTTTCCCCCCAAGTCTATCTCATAAACAGATTTCCTGGTTCTCAAACTCACCTTGGCCCCAGAGGGTGATACACTGCTGCTCGTGGGTCTGGCATATGCCGTTGTAGCAGTAGCCGTCCACCCCGTGGCACGCGTGCCCGTCGTGCAGGTACACGTTAGCTGGGCAGTGAGGGCTGGCTCCTGTGCAAAACTCTGGCAGATCACAGGAATTACTTGACTCTCTGCAAGAAATCCCCGCCGGTTTTAACTGCAAAACAAACAAAAACCCCGTAACTGCTGTAATTCCAATCAATAGGAGTTATGCAGCGGTATAACCCATGCAGCGCATGAACAGCTTTTTCCACTGGCTCTCCACCAACTGACCGCAGAGGACAGTATAAGGATTACACAGCTCTTTAAATACATTTATTTGACACAGGTTGCGAAGGGTTTGGCAGAAAGGAGGGCCAAGCCGAAGCTGCAGCTGCAACCATGGCTCACGTGGCTCAGGTCAGAAGGTAAACCCAGCCTTTTCACAGAATCATAGAATCATGGAATCATGGAACGGTTTGGGTGGGCAGGGCCCTTCAGAGCCCCCCCAGCCCAGCCCCTGCAGTGCCAGGGACAGCTTTAACCAGCCCAGGGTGCTCAGAGCCCCGTCCAGCCTGGCCTGGGATGGTTCTGGGGATGGGGCCTCCACCGCCTCTCTGGGCAACCCCTTCCAGTGCCTCACCGCCCTCACTGTAAAACATTTCTTCCTTATGGCCAGTCTAAATCTGTTCTTCCTTAGTTTAAAGAAGAATATGTATTCTCAAACACGAACCAAAGTTTTCAGTGTGCCTCCCGCAATGGTGCCTAAACACACAGGCACAGGACCAGTTTGGGCCGTGCTGCAAAGGATGCTCCGTAGCACTGGCCAAAAGTCAGGCCATCATCCTTTTCATCCTTAGAGCTAGAACAACACAGCGGTGAACAGGGCAGCCAGCCCATCACGTAACATGATGTTCTGCGTTATGTTATGGCTCACGAAGCCGCCAGCCCACCTGACTCTGGATTCAGCTGCCTGACAGCTTCCTGGGATGGAGCTGCATTTCCCCACGGAAATGTCGCTCTGTCATGGGCGTCAAGATCTTCTTCAACTTAATTATACAACTAGTCCGTGTAACTGTTCCCGTCCTGTCCTGATTTCCCTGGGTAACTACATGTTTTCAGAGCTGAAGGCAACTAGTAGGCAATGGTGGAATGCGCCAATCTGAACATTCACTTATCAACAACCACCACAAAAGATGGGTGTGCTCTGGGAGCAGCACTGAATTTTAACCGCATCCAGTGCCTTTGGTAAAAAGCAAAAAGACACAAAGATTGATTTTGCTAAAAAGCATTTGCTAGCTGTTTTGCTAGCTCGCTGCTACGGAGCTTTCAGGCAGACGGTTGCCACAGACACAATGGAAACTTGCTGAATGCTTTATTAGCCCATATGCAAGAGACAGTCTGAGAATTCATGAAGGTAAATGCCTGCGGCAAGTTGGCTTTTTATAGTATGTTAGGAGTCCACAAGAACTGATGATCTGCCATTAAAAATATATATGCTGTTGACAGAATTAATATTTTAAGAGTCTTCCCATAAAAAGAGGGTCCAGCATTTAATGACTAGCTTGCCAGAGCACAACATGCATATAAGCATGAAAAAAATCAAAGCATATAAAAGTTCATGAAAAAAGAAGAGGTTTTGCATGAGCAAATGAAGTGGCTACAAATAGCACAGACACCATTTAAAAAGTCTGTTGATCTGCTCCTTCAATATCTGTTACAGTTTGAGAATTTTTTTTAATTGCTTACATGAAATGCAAGTATCTTAATGCTTAACGATACCAATTTGCTTGTTCTGCATCCTTGCTTACTGCTGGGCAGTTGAGAAGATTATGGAATTCTTCCCACCCCACACAGGTAGAGAAACATTTCCCTTGGTTCACCTTGCAGTCTTCGCAGCAAAGTCCGTGTGCACACACTGCTCCCGGTTTCAAAGTACAGGTAGTTGCATTGCAGCACCGGTTTGTACATTCCTAGATGGAGGATAAATTTAGAGCAGACAACTTTCAGTCACAATGAGCTGTAAATCAAGAGGCTGCCTATAGCTCCGCCAAGAAAATCTAGGCATGAAATAATGAATTATGCATGCAATTCTACAACTTGATCCAAACGGTCTTGTCTGTCCTTAGATTCGACAGGCGCAATAATTGTAGTAAAACCAGAGAAGCCATTGAGGCAGGCTGGTTTATTCTAGCTATGGACCCAATCCTAAATATCACAGACAACTCAAGTACGCTAATACCAATCCTGACACGGTAGTACCGTCTTTTATTTCCACAAAAATCAGTGGAATGATTCCATTGCCTCCTGTGAGGATCCAGGACCTGCGTTACAGTCGCTGAGCATCACCGCTACGGCTCTCTGTTTTGTGATAGTTGCTCACCGAACTTCTGTATTGCATGGAGGCTGGTGGCTGCCACAAAGAAAGATGATGACACCATTCCGTGTAATCTCTTATCAGGGTATGTCAGTAACAGAGCTTTGAGAAAAGTATGAATGGCATTATCACTAACTGATACATCCCAATTTCACACTTACGGATTAGATGGTGGAATGCGTGGGCTTTTGCAAACTTTAGTCTCCTTAGAATGAGCTAGTAAGAAGTTTCAGAAAATAATGGGTTTGTTTTTCCAAGATTATGCTCACAAGCTGCAAGTTACATCAGCTGCACTGGAATCTCAGCTCTCTAACAAAAATAGCAGCAGATAAAATTGCTCTTCAGCTGTGTTAAGTCAGTTTGACTTAACAAGGGATCACTAACAATATAGGGAACACAGGAAAAATAAGTGGGTTAGAATGATGTTCACAGCCTCTTGTTACTTTATTGGCTTCTGTAAAGCTTTCCAACTGGAAGATAGGGCTACCACTGCACTCCCAAATAAAGAGCAAAATGATTCTCAGCGTTTCACTGTTTTCTTAGATAATATCTGCCTGAATATACAAAGCTCACTGTGCTGCTCTGAAGCAGTGGAACAACTTCCTGCACCTATTTTTGATCATGCCAGAAGGCAGCAGGCTACGCAAATATTTCTGTGCAGCTGCTGTATTTAAGAAGTAACGTTCCTCTGCACAGAAGCACATTTTAAAAATTCACCCCAATAGCAATCTGAGAAAAGCAGAGAGGAGGAAAGCAATGTCAGTCCAATTGAGTTACTTCTGAAACAGTCAGCTCCTATATCCCATCATCTGGCCCTACACCAGCCAGCCATGGAAAGCAATCAGCATTCCACAGACAGCTTGGGATAAAGACACAGCTCTTTGAATGATGTTACTGCAGCCTTTGAAATTTCCAATTGCTCACTCACTTATTACTCATTGTAGGGAATGAGCTTGGTAAATAGTTTTTGTGCCTGGGCTGTTAAATTTTCAGCAATGGTTTTAACATAAACAGGCAAGCAAACAGAAAAGGCTCAGAAGGCTTTCAGAGGCTGGAGGCTGCCACCCGAAACTACAGCTGTGTTGTAGTTTATTATTATTAATTATTAGTTACAACAGCAATGATGGGCATTGGGGTTCTTAGCGTAGGTGTCCTGGGCTCATCAGAGCACCTCAGACGGACCAACGCAACAGCACTTCTAGCATCACCTACATGATGCCGGATACTGTAGACAGGACATCTTGGTTTCAACCCTGTTTTTCTAAGAACATAGGACAGACCCCACTGGGTCAGCCTGTAACCCTTCCAGCCTTGCGTCCCCCTGACAGCCGCCAGCAGGAAATGCTTAAGGACAAAACTGTGAACACACATACACGATACCTTCCTAGTGTCCTGGTTTTCCCTTGGCTCCACGGACATTTTTAGCACCTGTAACACTGAGTGGAAAGGAACTCACAAGTAATCGGCACAGGCTGGGGAGCAGCGCCTTCTGCTTGTTTGAAACCTGCCACTTCCTAACTTCATATGCACAGTTCCTGTTGGGGGACAATTGCTCCCTACTCACCCTTTTCCAGTCCACTCGCGATTTTATCAGCTTCTGTCACATTTTCCTTCATTTTCTTCTTTTCCAGCCAGAGCCCCTCCGAAACCTTGAACCACCTTATTGCTTTTCTTTCAGCTTTTTTCATTCTGCTTTATCCTTCCTGAGATCAGGGAGGGGTAGGAAAAAACTGCACGCGCAGTTTCAGTCGCAGCATGCTGCAGATTTATGGAGGCCTACTGGTGCTTTGTTTTGCTTTCCTATTACTTCCCTAGTAATTTCTAACAGCCTATTTACCTTTTAGACCACTCTTGAGCACTGAGCTGACATTTTCATGAGACTATTTATTGCAATATGAAGTCTTGTTCCTCTATGGTCAGAGTCAACTCAAAGTCCATCATCTTATATGTGATGTTTGGAATGTGCATCACTCTGCACTGAGTCCCATTTGTCACCTTAATGCCCGGTCCAGCTGTCTCAGAAGGTTCCTCTGCAGTTCTTCACAGCCAGCTTTCTTCTCTACCATCTTCTCTACCATCCTAACTAATATCATCAGCAAATTCAAGACTATTCCTCTTCCCAGGCTGTTTATGAATATGCTGAACTGTGTAGTCCCCAGGACACATCTCATGGATACATCACAGCAGATCTCCTTCCACTGCATAAAATGGACAATTTATCCCTGGTTGTATTTTCTATCTCTTAACACAATTTTTGCCCATGCAATATTCTCTCATCCTACAGCTGCTTAGTCTTCTAAAGAGGCTTTGGTGAAAGGCTTTGGTGTAAAGCCTCTCTGAACTCCTAGCAGGCTGCAATAACAGCATCGTCCCTTTCCATCCACTTGTTAAGTCCTTTGGAGCACTGTGATAGGTTTGTAAGACAAGATTTCCTGGCACAAAAGCTGTGTTGACTCGTCTCTGGCATGTCACAGCTGTTCAGGCACTAGCTCTTAATTACATTTGGAAGTAATTTGTCTGACTTCTGATTTACCAATTTGTAGTTTTCTGATCCTCCTTGCAGCCCGTTATAAAATTAGCCACATTTGTCACCTTTCAGTTCTCAGGGACTAAGGATTTTTTTTTTTTTTTCCTTCTTCTATCTTTCCATGTGTAATCTACATTAACCCTTCTTCCGAGACACTGCAGCATGTCAGTATAACCCAAAATGAAGTTGGAGCTTAATTGGTAATATCACCCTTGGTCAGCTCTTACACCCTTGGCCGGGTGGTGGGCATGCCAGCATCCATTGCACTCAAGAAGATGAGCAGCACCTGCTGCACACGAGACTGCAGTGTGGATGGAGGTGGTCAAGCAGTCCCTACTGCATGGGTGTTTCCAGCGTTGTCTGAAGGGTGGGAGGTGTGCTACAGTCGTGACTCTCCGTCCTTATGAATCCATTGCTCTCCTGCTGCTAAGGAACGTCAGTGAGCACAGACCTCAACACGGGGCTAATGTTTTGCTTTGAGTAAAGGAGAATTATCCTACCAACCACCTACGTCTACATATTCCGACTGATATTTAATTCTGATCGCTGATAAAAGGCAACTAGCGTATGTTATTGTACAGCTTTCCATGCCATAAAATATTGCAACACCATTGACAAAACTCCCCTGGTATAAATGACTGGGCAGTGAATTATTAACTAATCTAATGGGTTTTCTGGTACCGCTCAGATTGTAGCAGTAAATTCCAAATTAATTTAATTGGGCCCAAGCTGAAGTTTTCCAATATAATTAAAACAGAAAAACATAGAAAGAAGAGGCAGATCAAGTCAGTGCTTGCTGACGTTAAGTGGCTTTGACTTGAAAAGGTATCGCTAACATTCAAAAGTGAAAATGAGAAAGATAACTGGGTTAGAAAGACATTTGCGAGCTGCTTGCACTCTATTGACTTTAAACAAGAAGATAAGCCTGCTTCCTCCAACCTTGTTACCCTGAAGAATGAGTGAACTGTCAGGAAATCCTTATGGCTTGTGTAAATCCAATACACTGTATAGACAGGATACAGCAATATCGCGCTGTTTTAACTGCCCTGATCTATATTGTCTGCAGAACCATATTTATCACAGGAAACAAATCCCTCATCTGCTGATGTATTTAATTCAGATAATCTGAGAGAAGTTCAATACAGCCAATGAGCATGGGAAGCCGAAGGGATAAGGATGTCGGCTCCGATCTTATTTGACCCCCAGGTTTTGCCTATCTCCTCCTGATCTGAGCAGTCCTCTGACACATTCACTAAACCAAATGGAATGAACTTTGAAGTAGTAGCGATCTTTCTGGGAGGCAGTAAAAGCTATTTCTGTTAGTAAGGTAATTGGCTAGCGACAAAGAAAAATCTCATAGTGAAGGAGGGAAAGGTCTTGTAGCTAAAAACTGAAGCTGGCTGCAATGAAGAAAAAATACCTAGGCAATACTGCTGTTTATATAACTATTTATATTTATATTAATATGAATATATGAGTGGCTTCTCATATATGGAAAAAAAACCCTTGAATTAATCCATAGTATCTTGACAAATTTGAGTAATGTTAACAAATTTATTTGGAGTTTAGCTTATTAGCTAGCACTCACCGGAATGTCTGTTGTTAGGAACATGGCAGTTAGTCATGGTTAGTTGTTGGACAAGCCGTGAGAGAGTTTGCTCTCTAACGGCGAATCGAGCACATTCTTAGCTAAAGCCCTGCCTGAACTTTAGCAACTCAACTGCAAGTCAGGCAGAAACTTCCCACGTCTCTGAGGACTCCGAGGTTTAAGCAGATAAGATGGAAGCAGTGAAGGGAGAGTTTTGGTTTACACCAAGTAATGTTAAACGTGCCAAACCAATTGTGAATCGCCTTTAATGTTAAAAACCTGCAGACAGGAGGTGAGCAGTAATTCTCAGGGGGTGTCTTACATCAGGTTCCCCGCAGTCGCACTCCTCTCCGTCTTCCACATAGCCATTCCCACACTTCTGTCCACCAAAGGACTCCTTGACTTCAGGCAAGTTAAACAGACACATTCCCACTCCTTTTTCCAGGCTGTTTTCCAGGTCCTTTCTACTGCAGCTACTGAATACCATGGGAAATGGATAGCTAGAAGAAAAATAAGTGTAGAAAAAAAAAAAGAGGTGCTATTATCAGATGAAAACATCTCTCTTCTGTCACACTGGTGACCTTTTAGCACATCTATGCACTAACAAGAAGACTGTGTTCATTTTTTTTTAACCCTTTAACATAGGATTGAAAAATAGCAATTCACTGTGAAATTGTGCCAGAACCATTTAACCATTCTGACTATGAGTAAGGGAATTTCCATCATTTTCACTTAGATTTGTAGCTGCTGGTAAGGATTGGAAGTGTTCACATTTGGAATTCATTGTCCCTCTTTTGCATATGTAGTTACAGAGCAAATTTTGATCATGAGCCTAAAGAAATACTGGGCTTGCAAGGAGGATTCCCGCATTTACAGGACTGCAAAACATCCTAATCCTTCTTGGAAAATTCAGCCTCAAATGGCAAATTCATTCATCTTGCTCTGCAGTATGGCAAATTTCCCACTCTTTTCAGAAAAAAAAAAAAATAGAGAAAAACACCGAGTTACTTGATAAGAGCCTGCTTCTGCAATTCATCAACGTCGAGCTTGGGAACAGCATGATTAAAACAAATACAGTTCTTATTTTAAATCAGGATGACTGACTACTGAAAATACCCATATTTTGAGTTCACACTGCTGAGAGCAGGATTTGGCCCTGCTGTGCAGGCATGTAGCGGCTTTGGTTTCTTTTGGAAAACGCATGGACAATGTTATCAAAATGATCCAGTGTAGTATGAATATCACCAGATAATTTGTGGTTTTCTGTTGGAGGACTTTATTCCATTTTCACTAATGAACGTTTGCAGGTTGATTCACAGATACGAGACGAAGTGGCACCTGGCTCTGGCCGTCAGAATCACATCCTAACATCTACTGTGCCCTCTCCGCACTGAGCTGTGTACATGGTTACGTGGAATCTGGATCACAACCAAGTCATAAAACAGCATCTCCCCTAAGACTTGGTACCTTCGTCACTGCTGCCCCATGGTCCAGCAGTAATTCAACGTTATGGCAGCTCAGGGAGCCAACCTGATAATAACCGGACTTTATTCACTCAATGCTTTGTATCACTCACATGTTGTTAGGGCATAAGCTTTACAGACAAGCAAGATAACAGATGGAAGTTCTGCACTGCTGAACTTCAGACTTCAATTAATCTACTGTTGGTTCTAATATCCTGAAATGAAAAACTTTGTGAACGATGATGCCTATAGTTATCAGAAAGGGAACATTTCTTTTTAAAAAAAAAAAAATGCTTGACAATTTCAAATGCAATAGACCTTCCTCTGCTGACATGAGGAGGTTAATTAGGATATTCTAGAAAGGTTACAGGTACCTTACAGAACAGAATTTATTTTGTGCCTATTTAAAATTACCTCTTTTACAGATTCTTTTGCAATAAAACAGCCAGGTCATTGGAAAAGAACATAAACATGGTTCTGAAGAAGAAAATAATTTTCGTGTATCACTATAGGGCTTGTCTAGTTAAACTAAACAGTTCTGTGATTCACTGGCATGTGACTTTAGAAAGTTAATAGGCATCTCCACTTTAAAAGCTGATTTCTGGAAAATGTGAATGTTTAGGCAAAATGACAGAGTCTAAGATAAATAAAGAAATTTCAGAATAATATGAGGTAGGAGTCAGGCTGCTAGCTGCAGCTCTGGGCCCCACAGGAAAACAGGGAAGGTACTCAAAGTAATGGAACAGAAAATAAAGGCATTTGGGAAACCTCCTACCGACCATTTTATATTGAGCAATTGGAGATGTTCTTAACAGGACACCACAAACTCCTGTCCTGCTCTTAGTTTCTTTGGGAAAAAAACCCACAAAATTTTGTGTACATGACTATGAACAAGTAGATGGATGTACACTACTATCAAACACCAGAAAAAAAACTCAAGAAACCCAGATATATCTGACTGTTAAATCCTGCACAAAATATATGAGTGCTTGATCAGACATGATCCTCATATCAAAGTATGAATAAATGAATACTGCATCATCCAGGCAAGATCCTTCACTTCAGTGACACAGATATACTTTGATATCCACTGAGATGAGACAGGGAGACATACATACCTTACGCAGACTGAAATCAATTCAGGGATACAAATAATGCATTTTTCCCTGTGCCATATGTCTCAGCCACACATGGATCATGAGAATAGCTCACCAGTCAAAACTCTCAATATTTTAGGGCTGCTCCTTTGTATCCATGAATGCTCAGGGTCATTTGCATGAATGTAAGATGTGTCTGTCCATCACCGGGAGAACAGAATCCTTACTCTGTACCAGAGGTGAAATAATGTCATTGTTAATGAATGAGGTTTCTGTTTCCCCCCCGAGGAACTTCAAGCTGTTTCCTATTTTGAACTAAGGGATCCATTCATCTTCTGCCTTTTCCTGCTCTTGACGCTGATTTCCTCAGCTGACATCAGCACAGCACATGTTATTTGATGAAATTTTCTGAAAATACTTTTTCTTTACCAAGTAAGTTCAAAATAAAGCGATACAAAACCAGAGATGAACCCAACAAGTGGAAAGAGAGAGCAACCGAAGGGTAACCACACCATGCAAGAGAAGATCCCACATCAATTGATGCAAGTTGGTATTTCATTGGAAACATAATTGATCTTTAATACTGTGATATTCTGACCCAAAACCATTCTTCTTTTTTTTTTTTTTGCCAAAAAAAAATCCCATGTAACAGCCACAGCATTTGATCATTGTGATTTTAGGCTACATTTTGGCTGTCTTTGCAATTTTAAAGCTGTTTCATCAGAAGCATGAAATCCCTGGCAGATGGGAAGGGAAGCTATAGCTTTCAGATGTCAGTAGCATTAGGCATGATGTTTAAGTGAATCTGGAGGTTGTGAAAAATGATGAAGTAATGGTCATGTGAAAGAAACTCATCCTCTGAACAAATGCAGCAAACCTCCTTGCTCTACCCTGTTAAGAGGCTTCAGACCGCACCTGGAAGGACTACCTTTGGGTGGGAAAACGTAATGGGGTCTCCACAGTAAAGTCAGTCTTGACCTGCGTCTGAGATTTGGGTAACATATATATCTATGCTTTCTGTGTAGCTCAGACACCTATCCCATTGGAAAAACTCTCAGCTACCAACTCATATAGGCCATTGGAAAACCTTCCAGAGGTAAAAAATTCATTACCAATCAGTGTATTGCATTATCCTTCACTCAAGACATTTTCTTTTACAGATCTTTATTTTTCTGCAGTTGGGAAGAGAAAGGAAACTTTAGTCCAACCTCATTCCTGTTCTAAGATGCTGAATAGCCCACACATTTTCTACACTGTTTGAATCTGTAGATTTAATACACAATGGCTCATTTTGTCAAATCATTCTGGCTATGGGTACAACTCTACGGAACTCAAATCATGCCCAGCACTACATCAGTCTCTTCAGTGGGTTTACAGGAAGGAAAATAATTTCAGAGTCTTTCTACCCCTGTTGAATCCACAGCATTCCTCAGTGTCTCCTTGGTGCTTAAAAGATGCGCTTAATCTCAAGCAACGAATATCCTAGCTCCCAGCAAAGATAGCTTTGACTGCTCCTGCAAATGAGAGCTTCACAGTAGTAAGAGGATGCCTAGTAATTGATTCCTTTAGAAACAGAGTCTGGTCTTGTCCCATTCATTTATATTTCAAGCACTCAAGCCATTCAAATGCCAGTTTCCTTTATGTAGTTTTGCATTTAGTCTGTATTAGATGGCTCCTTTCATTAGATGGCTCCTCCATTCAACTAAGTGAAGTGGCATCATCACTGTGTCAAGTCCCTTTTAAAAATAGAGAGTTCTTTGTACTAGCACCGCTTCGCCCAGCGTAGGCTTTTTTTGCATGAATTATAAAAGTTCATCTCCACCATCTCCATTTCAGAGGCATTCCCCCTCCTAACAGGCTGAATAATGAGCGAGTACAAGCACAGAAACAGAGTCACTGCCCCAGAAAATTATAGTCTTAAGAGATCAGACAGCCAAAGCATGCAGGAGAAACAGAGTGGCTACTGATTCACGCAGGGTAACACAGCAGATCAGCTACAGACCTAGCACCGATACCACCGCTGAGGCTGGTGCGTCATCTTTGCCATCGCTGTCTTTCCCATTGCTCCATCTGGAAAACGCCTGGAGGGGCACTGACTTGGGCTGCAGGAGACTTTTGCTCCATTCCAAACCCTGCCACTGCGTTGCAGCAATGCCTTCGGAAAGCCATCGGAAGTGAAACTCCCTTGGTTCTTCCAAAACATGTCTATCTACATCTTTAGGCATCTAAACATTTAGTACCTTGGATCTACCTCCTTTGTGTTCCTCCACCATACAGCACAACATATTTTGCTGTTTCTCAAGAAGCATCACTGAAGCGATAACACCATCAATGCTTCTGGCAATTCTCTATGCATTGCACAGGAGAATAAACTGCAGGTTCACAATATCTTGAAAACTAACATTTTGATTAGTACAATTATTGCTCTCCAATCTCAGGTTTTTTTCTTATTCAAGAACTGCCTTGTACTCTCCAAAATGTTGGTATATACACACACATACATTATATGTATATATTTAATTATGTATCTATTTATAGGGTTCATTTATTCCAGTTCATATTGCAACCTGAAATTCAGCATTATGGCAATGTTTATACAGAGCCTTTTACCAAGTCCCTGAAGTGTTTTACAAGTATTCGCTCAACGAAAATAAACAACAGCCCCAAAGAGCTCTATTAAGTACCACCAGGCCTTCCTCCCTGAGGTAATATGATAATTGGAGATTATATTAATTTTAAAAGGGCATTTTGATTTTCCAGAGCACACTTATTGAAACAACTGTTGACTAGCTAATTTCCAAAGGTGCAGAAAACTGGGAGAGGGCTTTGTCCGCAATGCTTGAAAAACCAAGCCTGAGAACCCATATCTGGAAATAGATAAGGCATCAGCCATGCTTTTTAGGAGCATGAAGGTGCTCAAAGACAAGAGGGGTGCTGAGT